AGTGATAGACTCTTTACTGAAGCTAAAGAAAACACCAGCCTCCAGAATGTCCGGTAAACACGTTTCAAGGTTCAGTTCATTTATGTCCTGATTATATTTTGAATCCTCGGACTCCTGTCTCTAGGGCAAACAGGAAGTGCTGGGCTGGAAGCCTATCTGAAGCAGTATATCAAGACTGTAGCACTTACATTTTTTTTCCCACAGCAAGACTAAGTAGCTGTAATGGACCACTGTAATTAGTGTTAATGATATTTAATGGTCACTTTTGGATTCCATCTACCTGATCATCCTGAGGGATCTCCTGATGTTCCTGTGTGGAATCCCCGGAATACAGAGGACAGGCCTGAGGGATCTCCTGATGTTCCTGTGTGGAATCCCGGGAATACAGAGCAAGGTCCTGAGGAACCTCATTATGTTCCTGTGTGGAATCCTGGGAATATAGAGGACTGGCCTGAGGGATCTCATGATGTTCCTGTGTGGAATCCCGGGAATACAGAGGACGGGCCTGAGGGATCTCCTGATGTTCCCGTGTGGAATCCCGGGAATACAGAGGACTGGGAGATCTCTCTGGGGTATTTCTGTTCCTGGATCCATCTGTAGGAAACACACACACTGACTGAATACATTGTTTCTATGTCTTTATATCAGAGGATGTGTGTATCTAGGGGGATCCTCAATACTCAAGAAATGAAAGTCTCCCCTTACCCAGTGATGTGAAGGACATCCGGTTCTCCATCATGACTTCCTTGTAGAGATCCTTGTATCCTTCTAAAGCTTTGTCCTCCTTTGTGAAGAATGAGATAGTGACATCCTGACACCTTATAGGAACCTGACACACACAATGATACAGTCACCATCCAGACACATCCCTTGTCTGTCCCTGGATCATGTCCCAGAATTCCCGGCACCGCTCACCTCTCCTGTCAGCAGCTCAATGATCTCACTGGTGACTTCTTGGACCTTTGTCTTGTTCTGTCTCAGAGGGTCAAATGGAGGATCTATAACGGGACTTTGGGTCTTCATCAAGTTGGAAGCAACCAAGCCATCAGACAACTTGAAAGCTATATAATTCTATATTAGAAGCAAAGTCAGCAGGTTATGCCACCACCCAAAGCAGATTACACATTGTCAGTGGATTCTAATATATACCATTACAACATCTATCACAGTGAAAAGTCGTGTCATTTAAACCTCCCAGAATCCTCCTCACCTCTCCGGTCAGGTCTGTGTTTTATTAATAGAGATAAGAGTGATGTCATGTGACCTCCCAGAATCCTCCTCACCTCTCCGGTCAGTGACCTCCCAGAATCCGCCTCACCGCTCCGGTCAGCTTTGTGATTTATTACTAGAGATAAGAGTGATGTCATGTGACCTCCCAGAATCCTCCTCACCTCTCTGGTCAGGTCTGTGTTTTATTACTAGAGATAAGAGTGATGTCATGTGACCTCCCAGAATCTTCCTCACCTCTCAGGTCAGCTTTGTGATTTATTAATAGAGATAAGAGTGATGTCATGTGACCTACCAGAATCCTCCTCACCTCTCCGGTCAGGTCTGTGTTTTATTAATAGAGATAAGAGTGATGTCATGTGACCTCCCAGAATCATCCTCACCTCTCCGGTCATTAGGTAGATGATCTCCAGGGTGAGGTTTAATATCCTCTCGGTCATCTGGCTCCGCTCCTTCTCCATCCTCAGTCAGGTCATCAGTTTTAGGGTATTCGCCTTTATTAAACTTACACCGGCTATACCGAGGAAGAAAAAAATCTGGAAGTAGAATAAATAATGTAAAGCATTAGTTCAAATATCTAAAGAACATATAAAAATGTAGAAAGAGGGGGGAATACATGTCCATAGCAGGCGAGCAGACAGCATGTACACATATCAATTTACTGACCTAATGTACAAGGTCGCAGGACCTTTGTCAAGTCTTCAAAGAGCGTTGGGACCCCCTTCTCCCTTAAATGATTACCTCCAACCTCCACCACTACGGGTACTGGTACACATTGCCTCCTTTGGTCTACAACAAAATGGCCACCTTCGCTCTTTGAGGACAGTTTCTTCAAACCCATCAATCACCCTCCACCTCTAGTGTTTGCTTTACGTAGGCAGGTGATCACAGGGATCCATCAACATTGCCATATACTAGTGTCCTCAGTGTCAAAATGGCGGCCATTTTCTTGTAGCACAACCACTTTAAATGATAAGTAGATTTTTTTTGTTGGAACAGTTTTGTGAGTAATGAGGCCAGAGTCAACTTCCTCTGCTCATTGGTTCAATATAATCATGCTGAATGTAAGAAAGTGATTTCCCCGAGTGATGAAGGTTTGATGTCATGCTTGGAAGGAGGCAGCCATGTAGTTGTAGCCCTGTTGTCTTTCACAGCTGCTTGTAGGGATGTAGGTGGGATCTGGATGCACACTGAGAAGGTAGTGATGTCTTTTTGTTCTAGTCTTGTTTTACCATTATATTATTATTATTATGATCATGGTGTATGCTATTCTATTATTTTATCTATATGTTACCCTTTTCATTCCTAAGTAAGGAGCCAATGATCTATATGGGAGGGATATGTCATATATTGTATTATATTAATAAAAACGTGCCATCATATTTTATTGCTTTTAAATAAAATATATACTATACGCATTATCCTTACTATTGGTGCACAGGGAGGCGAGAATCATGTATTCTAAACCCAAGAACAAAGAAATGTAATGCATTGCAGCCCTGAGAAATCATTTCCTTGATTTCTAAGGTTTACATTGGTGGTCAGTGGGAAGAATGTTCCTTACATTGATGGCCAGTGGAAAGAATGCTCCTTACATTGGTGGCCAATGGGAAGAATGTTCCTAACATTGGTGGCCAATGGGAAGAATGCTCCTTACATTGGTGGTCAGTGGGAAGAATGTCCACTTACATTGGTGGTCAGTGGGAAGAATGTCCCTTACATTGATGGTCAGAGGGAAGAATGTCCCTTACATTGATGGCCAGTGGGAAGAATGCTCTTTACTTTGATGGCCAGTGGGAAGAATGTCCCTTACATGGGTGGTCAGTTGGAAGAATTCCCCTTACATTGATGGCCAGTGGAAAGAAGTCTCCTTACATTGATGGCCAGTGGAAAGAAGTCTCCTTACATTGATGGCCAGTGGGAAGAATGCTCCTTACATTGATGGCCAGTGGGAAGAATGTCCCTTACATTGATGGCCAGTGGGAAGAATGTCCCTTACATTGATGGCCAGTTGGAAGAATGCTCCTTACATTGATGGCCAGTGGAAAGAAGGCTCCTTACATTGATGGCCAGTGGAAAGAAGTCTCCTTACATTGATGGCCAGTGGGAAGAATGCTCCTTACATTGATGGCCAGTGGGAAGAATGTCCCTTACATTGGTGGTCAGAGGGAAGAATGTCCCTTACATTGGTGGTCAGAGGGAAGAATGTCCCTTACATTGGTGGTCAGAGGGAAGAATGTCCCTTACATTGGTGGTCAGAGGGAAGAATGTCCCTTACATTGGTGGTCAGAGGGAAGAATGTCCCTTACATTGGTGGTCAGAGGGAAGAATGTCCCTTACATTGGTGGTCAGAGGGAAGAATGTCCCTTACATTGGTGGTCAGAGGGAAGAATGTCCCTTACATTGGTGGTCAGAGGGAAGAATGTCCCTTACATTGGTGGTCAGAGGGAAGAATGTCCCTTACATTGGTGGTCAGAGGGAAGAATGTCCCTTACATTGGTGGTCAGAGGGAAGAATGTCCCTTACATTGGTGGTCAGAGGGAAGAATGTCCCTTACATTGGTGGTCAGAGGGAAGAATGTCCCTTACATTGGTGGTCAGAGGGAAGAATTCCCCTTACATTGATGGTCAGTGGAAATAAGTCTCCTTACATTGATGGTCAGTGGAAATAAGTCTCCTTACATTGATGGTCAGTGGAAATAAGTCTCCTTACATTGATGGTCAGTGGGAAGAATTCGCCTTACATTGGTGGCCAGTGGGAAGAATACCCCTTACATTGGGGGTCAGTGGGAAGAATACCCCTTACATTGGGGGTCAGTAAGAAGAATGCCCCTTACATTGGGGGTCAGTGGGAAGAATACCCCCCTTACAGACAGCTAAATATCATATAAATATATATATATATCATGCAGCTGGCTATGACAGGTGGTGTTGGCCCCTGAACTATGCATGCACTATGCACGGGAGGTCAATTGGCCTCCCATGCAAGGAACTTCTAGAAACCTCAGGAGGAACGCTGGTTGGGAATTGCTAATCTAGGTTGTATTAGATCCCTACAAATCCATATTAGGGTTATTCCTCCCCCTTCTGGTACCCGATGCACCTGCATTATAACTCTACACCTATTTAGCACAATGTACTAATGGTATGGGGGGCAACCATTGTATCTCCAAAAATTTTCCTTAAAAATGGCTAGAGTTATTTTTAAATAGTGCTGTGTCTACTGACCTGTGCTCCTTCTTTATATTATGCCAAGTCCCACCCACCACCTGAAACGTCACCTTGTTGACAAATTGGGAAAAAGGGGGTTGGAATGGAGGTAACTGACACAAAATATCATTTTATACGTGTTGGCAATTGTTATGGGAGGTTAGACAGCATGCATAGCTAAATATGTTAGGGGAGGGATGCAGCCCCCATGTTATAGCTCATGGATTCTCAGTTAGACAAAGGCAGCCACATAGCGAGCAGTCAATTGTATCATTCTGTTTAGCTAGGCATGTGACCCAGGCATCTTTTGTACACAGCATAGTCAAGGACTAAGACCTCTCTGCAGATGACATTGCTGTTGACCAATACAGCTTAGTCTTGGATCTCCTTACGGCCTGTGATTGGGTAATGAAGGAGCAGCAGCAGCTCTGAATGCTGTTGTACATAATCTGATACAGAGTCAGGCGATTGTGCTAGTTCTATGTAGAACTTTTAAGGACTGGAGAATTGATTCAATGGTGGCTTTGTAGATCTGCCTGCTTTGAAATCCTCTGTTTGAAGTGAATGTAAGTTCATCTCCTGATCATTGCAAGAACCATAATCCACTTCCCTGATCATGACTTATCCACAGAGGATGGAGAAGGAAAGGAGCAAGATAACGGAGAGAATATTAAACCTCACACTGGATATCATTTACCTGCTGAGTGGAGAGGTGAGGAGGATTCTGGGAGGTCACATGACATCACTCTTATCTCTTTTATTAAATCACAGACCTGACCGGAGAGGGGAGGAGGATTCTGGGAGGTCACATGACATCACTCTTATCTCTTTTATTAAATCACAGACCTGACCGGAGAGGTGAGGAGGATTCTGGGAGGTCACGTGACACCACTCTCATCTCTAGTAATAAAACACAGACCTGACAGGAGAGGTGAGGAGGATTCTGGGGGGTCACATGACATCACTCTTATCTCTTTTATTAAAACACAGACCTGACCGGAGAGGTGAGGAGGATTCTGGGAGGTCACATGACATCACTCTTATCTCTATTAATAAGACACAGACCTGACCGGAGAGGTGAGGAGGATTCTGGGGGGTCACATGACATCACTCTTATCTCTTTTATTAAAACACGGGGTGGCCCAGAAAGGTGAAAGACCTAACATATTAAAAAGGGGTGGCATAACCTGTTTTTTAAATCTAGAATTATATAGCTTTCAAGTTAACCGATGGCTTGCTGGCTTCCAACTTGATGAAGACTCAAAGTCCTGTTATAGAGCCTCCATCTCACTCCCTAAGACAGAAGAACAAGAAAGTCAAAGAAGTCACCAGCGAGATCATTGAGCTGCTGACGGGAGAGGTGAGCGGTGCCGGGAATTCTGGGACATGATCCAGGAACAGACAAGGGATGTGTCTGGATGGTGACTGTATCATTGTGTGTGTCAGGTTCCTATAAGGTGTCAAGATGTCACTGTCTATTTCTCCATGGAGGAGTGGGAGTATCTAGAAGGACACAAGGAGCTCTACAAGGACGTCATGATGGAGAACCGGCCGCCCCTCACATCACCGGGTAAGAGGAGACTTTCATTTCTTGTGTATTGAGGATCCCCCTAGATACACACATCCTCTGATATAAAGACATAGAAACAATGTATTCAGTCAGTGTGTGTGTTTCCTACAGATGGATCCAGGAACAGAAATACCCTAGAGAGATGTCCCCGTCCTCTGTATTCCCGGGATTCCACACAGGAACATCAGGAGATCCCTCAGGCCCGTCCTCTGTATTCCCTGGATTCCACACAGGAACATCATGAGATCCCTCAGACCCGTCCTCTGTATTCCCGGGACTCCACAAAGGAACATCAGGAGATCCCTCAGGCCTGTCCTCTGTATTCCCAGATCTCCACACAGGAACATCAGGAGATCCTTCAGGCCCGTCCTCTGTATTCCCGGGATTCCACACAGGAACATCAGGAGATCCCTCAGGCCCGTCCTCTGTATTCCCAGGATTCCACACAGGAACATCAGCAGATCCCTCAGGCCCGTCCTCTGTATTCCCGGGATTCCACACAGGAACATCAGCAGATCCCTCGGGAGGATCAGGTAGATGAAGCTGAAGATCTTAGTGATAACATGAATCAAGAAGATCCTATCACCTCTCAGGATTTCAAGGTGGGTTCCAACTACATCTAGTTTGTATTATCAAGCTGGTTAGTGTATGTTACACTGTTCAATCATCAAGTGAATATATCAGCCATTAAAGTGCTTTTGGCCTTACCCAGGGTGAAGACTTGATTATTAAAGCTGAACCTGTAGATGAAGAAGAGATTTATGTGAGTGGACTTGAGCCATGTAAGGAGGAGGAAATCCCTGTCGCGATCAGCAAAGGTAAGGAATAAACACTAAGTACAAAAAAAACCCAGTCTCAGATTCTCCTTGTCCAGTCACTACAACAATCTCCTCTTCTCCCCCCTCCTCTGTCAGTAGACAGTAATGGGGAGACACTATGTGCCCAGTGGAGGAGTCAGGAGCCAAAAATAGCCAAATAGATCAAGGCATTCTACCACCAATAGTTTTGACCACTTCATGGTTTTGACCAAGACTGTTGTTGGTAGGCTGCCCTGATCCTCTTTGGTTCTTCCTTCAGTCAAAAGCTGTTTTTACATTGAAGAACTTTCCCCAGTGGGAATATCCCCGGGAAAAAGCCACTCTCCTATCCTGTCAGTAGACAGTAATGGGAGGACAATATATGTGCCCAGTGGGGGGGAGTCAGGATCATATCAATAGAGAAAGAAAACAACCACATACTGATATTTTAGGACCTCTTACAGTTTATGGGAAACGGTTGTCCACACTATTTGTGAGTGCGTCTGTGGAAATTTGTGCCCATTCAGCCAAAAGAACACAAGGCCAAGCACTGATGTTGGATGAGTGGAGTTCCAATTCATCTAAAAGGTGTTCATTACGGTTGAGTTTAGGGCTCTGTGAAGGCCACTTGAGTTCCTCCACCCCAAAACTTGGCAAACCACGTCTTCATGGACCTTGCTTTGTGCACCTCCACTCAATAAATTGCAGGCCTGTCTACAAATTGTACCCATGTAGTGTATGTGTGGCTCTATCGAGTTGTGTACTATCTGAAACTATCTATCCCTTCTCATAGCCAAATTTCTTCTTAAATGTTTCTCTTTTTGATAAACTGTGCCGAAAACTATTATAACCATGCCTCTTACTCTTCATTTTTTTCTTCCAGGTGGACGATATGACAGAAATAAGACAAGGAACCGTCTAATTAGTTCTTCAGATGGTGAAATAGAAGAGTATGGCATTGCAGTAGATTCCCCAGGAATGGGTGAACGATTGAACACCATGAAACTTGATCCGGTACTTTATAGGGCAGGGCTGTCATCTGATCCCTCTACACCGTGGCAGTGTTTTCCTCGTCATTCACTTCCTGCTCATAGAAGTCCCAAAAAATTTGCCTGTTCAGAGTGTGGTAAGTGCTTTACACAGAAAGCTCACGTCGCTAGACACGAAAAGGTCCACATGGACGTGAAGCCGTACTCATGTTCCGTTTGTGGGAGGTGCTATGCTCACAAATCCCACCTGACCAGCCACTTGAGATCCCACACGGATGATAAATGGCACTCGTGCCCCGACTGTGGGATATGTTTTGGACATAAAGTATCTCTGGTCAGGCATCAGAGAATCCACACCAACGAGAAGACATTCTCTTGTACGGAGTGTGGAAGATCCTTCACCCAGAAATCCCACCTGGTTGACCATTTTAGAATCCACACAGGGGAAAAGCCATACTTGTGCTTGCAGTGTGGGAAGCGATTTACCGTCAAGAGAGGTCTGGTTAGCCACGAGAAAATCCACAGTGGTAAAAAGCGGTTTTCATGTCCGGAATGTGGGAAGTATTTCACCCGGAAATCCTATCTCGTCAACCATCGGAGGGTCCACCAACGTGAGCTGCTCGTATGATATTTTTTGTGAGGGTCATGTTTTAAAGGTCATTCCACCCAAGACTGTCTGTGAAGGTTCTCAAGGTTTTAAAGGTTATTCCACCCAAGACTGGTCTTCCACTGTGCTGCACAAAGTAGGCAAGTAGACTGGCTATGGCAAGAAGATAATACAGTACATGGGCAACCCTACAAAAGATTGAGTTCTGGGGTTTCTAACCTTGAGGTAACAGTTTGGTTAGGGCCCTCTTATGTTCCACCATTACTGTCCCCTGTGCAAAAAGCCAGCTTCATAAAGACACGGTTTCATGACTTTGGTGTGGAGGAACTCAAGTGACCAACACAAAACCCTGACCTCTACTGAACACCTTTGGGACAAATTGGGATGCCGATTGCAAGCCAGGTCTTTTCATCCAACAGTAGTACCTGACCTCACAAATTTCTACAGACACTCTCCAAAATCTTGTTGAAAGCCTTCCTGGAAGAGTGGAGGAGGTTATAGGCATATATGGGAGTGACAACTCCAAATGAATGCTCATGGTTTTGGAATGCCCATTGCAAGCCAGGTCTTTCCATCCAACAGTAGTACCTGACCTCACAAATGTTCTTTTGGTTGAATGGCACAAATTCCTACAGACACTCTCCAAAATCTTGTTGAAAGCCTTCCTGGAAGAGTGGAGGAGGTTATAGGCATATATGGGAGTGGCAACTCCAAATGAATGCTCATGGTTTTGGAATGCCCAAGAAGCAAATGTTGATGTGATGGTCAGGTGTCCACAAATGCTTGCCAACACTTGGATCCAGGGTTTATTGTACTTCCAGAAAGACATCTGCATGAGTTTGTTCTCGTGTTTGCATGCACTCCCTCTGAACATTTCTTTGTTTTGTTCAAAAACATTCTAGTTGGTTAATTGCAGTTGAAAAAAAGCACTTAGTCCTTAGGTGACCGAAGACTGTTAGGTTGTGAGCTTCTTTGCAGGCAAATACTAAAGCCAATGGTCCATTGTTCTCTGTAAATTTCTTTAGAATTTATGTTAACTAGGGATGCACCGATACTAGTATCAGTACCGAAACCGAGTATTTGGGTGAGTACTCGTACAAATGCTCCAATACAGAAACTTCCCGTCAGGGGAAGATCCCCCTCTGATCGGCAGTGCCGAGGGAACATGGAGCTGGCTTCCTTTCCAATCAGGAAGCCAGGTGGTGGGTTATGACCCACATCCCTGATTGACTAGGAAGCCGGCTTCACATGTTGCTAAGCAGCCTGGCTTCCTAACCAATCAGGAAGCCGAGCGGCACGTAATAACCTGCCTCCCTGATTGGTCAGGAAGCCAAGCTGCCTAGGAACAAGTGAAGCCGGCTTCCTGGCCAATGAAGAAGCTGGGAGCCAGGTCGATGTGCCTCCCGGCTTCCTGATGACCAATCAGGAAGCCGGACGGCACCTCATGACTCAGCGCCCGGCTTCATGATTGGTCAGGGAGCCTCTGAAGCCGGTTTTCCTGCGCTAGAACACCAGCAATCAGGAAGTCAGGCAAAGATCCACCAGCCGACTTCTTGATAATCTGGGCACACGGCACTGGTGAGTACAGAAAAGAAATATCGGTACTCTATAGTGAAAAACTGGTATCTGTGCTTCCCTAGGGTTAACCAATCCATAGAACTCCCAGTTGAATATTTTAATAAACATTAAGCCCATCACATCCAAACTATGTTTTATTTATTTGATTATAAAGGGTAGAAAATGTATACACTCAGCTACTATGTTGGAGAAGACTTGCACTCATCACCACAGGTCTTAGGTGGAACCCATGACTTGACGTTAAGGTCCTTCTTGCCACATGAAGCATGTGCTGTACCCTCTGGCTGTTCACATCGGAGGTCAGAACAGGTGAGTAATATTCTGATGTGGAGTCTGATATACAACAGGACAGAGATTGCCCATCACTTTCTGCCTTATGTACAATGGTGACCAGGACAAACAGCAGCAATAACATTTTGCATAGGTTCTAACCCTTCCACACCTTATCCAAAACAAAAAAGTTCAGGGCTTGCGTATACTTTTGGGGCGGGACTTTCAACTCTCACATGTAAAATTGCCACTCGATTGTACGGAGGAGCACAATTTCCTATGCTCCACAGCACAATCTAGCAGCAGTAATGGAATGCAAACGGCATCTGGGTGGAAGTGTTGTCAGTCCCTATTAACTTGAACAGCAGCAAGGCCCAGAACCCTTCCTGGAATAGACACTCCACCCTACAATTCAGCACCTGGTACCTCCTCAGGAAACCAGCACTTGGCAGTGATACATGGCTGTGGGCAAAGGGCACCATCGGCTTATTCTGCAGGCAGAACTTAAAACTGGAGATCTAGTGCATAACAGCTTATGCCGTCTATGGTCATTTACTGTATACAAGCTAGCAACGCATCAGTCATGATCTACCGGTTGGATCACGTTACAGGGTAGCTCACTACCCCACCCCAGCCACCTATACTTCTCAAAAATCCAACACCTCTCAGGATATTGCAGAGCAGATGGAAGTCCTAGGTTTCGCCTGGGCTGTGACCTGACCTACGATAGCTGAAGAAAAGTTATGAGGACAATTGAGTGAATTTTACAAGGGGGGGGGGGAGAGGTTTTATCTGCAATGCCACAAAAAGCAATATGGGACCACGTTCAGGCCTCAAAATTGGATATATTGCCATGCTGGACTCTGACCCCCCCTTAAGGAAGCCCTCTTCAGCAAGGAAGGATATGCAATGATCTCATGGATCTCCGTGTTCTGTTAACTTAACATTTTGGATTTTCCCCTCACGGTCAGTAACAATGGCCACCAGGAGTAGGGAGGATAATGCTCAGCGGAGTGGGGCAGTAAGCTTATGAGGATTCTTAAGGTGGCCATACACTCTACAACCATCGCAAGACTTTAGTCTTGCGATGGTTGTAAAGGGATTAAAAAAAAAAAAAAGTACGAACTGCCTCT